GGTCCTGGATTGAAGTGCAATGGACGCCGGCTGAAGCAGCGCTGGGCGGCTCAAGGTACCAGAGGCTGACCGACCCCCCCTTAGGCCTTAGTGAAACCCAAAGTGTTTTTTTATGAAGCTAGGTCGGGTCACAGGACCACAAAGATCAGGTACCTTTAGGAGGCGTGAGCTCAATGCTGTTGATCTCACAAAAGCCAACGGGGAAGATGGAGGGGGACATGCCGTGGTAGCAGAACCAGTCGGAGCCGTCCACGGCCTCCGAGCCATCGATTCCAATCATGAGGTAACCGTCTGCCAACACCTGCACAGAGAACAAGCATGAGCTTCCTCCTGAGGACGACGCTTTGCCGACGTCCGGTCGCCGTGCCGACCTTTTTTACTGTGGCGACACAGATGGCTGAGAGGTTGAGGGGGTCGATGGCTTCCAGCTTCATCCCGTCTTTGAACCAATCGTCACTCTGGTCCACATCTTTCACCTGGATAACACAGAGGAAAACAGCACATGGTGAAATGATCTGCTTCTTAGATACCGAAGAGGCTAAAGCAGACTAGTTTCTGAGGAAACACTGACTTCCAAACGTCCGCCCTAACCACTGGTTTTGCCATTTTAGATCAAAGCCCCAACGTCTAGTGGATAAAATAACAGTACACTCGAAATTTCCCACAATACACCTTGCCAAGTGTTGCTCATCTATGGTCAATACACCAGCAGATGCTATGCGTGGAGAGCTCTCCTCGCAAAGCATTATGGGATTTGTCGTCACAGCAGCCCGACTAACAAAGATGCCGCAGGCACCCCATGGAGAGGCGGAGTTACGTGACCGACAGGGAGCAAAAAGCAGTGATCATCTGTCTGAAGAGTCAGTTAACCGAGTTCACTATAAAGTTCAGATCTATATAGTGATGGAGGGGTCAGAGGTCAGGAAGGATGGATGGACACAGCCACTGACTGGCTGTTAAATGGAACAAAGCAGGGTATCCTTAACCAAAGACAGATAATCTGGAAGCTGTCGGCCATGTTGGCAGGTAGCAATCCACCCTGAGCCTGTTTCTTAATCAGCCTTAAACTAGAAACACCATTAATTGACCAAACCCAGAGACATGAGGCTAAATCCAGCTTGGACTGGTTTGTTAGAGGCGCAGTGGTGGAGCTGGTCTTCTCTCCATAGCCGAACCCTAAAGCTGCAGCCGGTCCTGCTGAAGACCTGACTTCATCCAAAGACTTCACCCAAAACCAGGTTTTAGCTGTTCCCGCTAAAACCGGAGACCAAGACATCAGGATGGATATGGTGGAGGAAGAGGGGGTAAGTGTTTGATAAAAGACAACGAAGGATCACTGTCCTTTAGTGACCAACAGCAGCAGGGTCTGCAGTGCGATGATAAAGTCTGCATCATTCAGACCAAAACCAGTCTGCAGGTCTCAGACCAGTAGGGCCCGACTGCAGGAGGAGAACCATTCAGGTCACAAAGCATCAAACTCCGACCGTCACCAGAACCCCCCCAACCCCAGCTGGGCATCTCCTCTATCGCCATGGGAACCGTCGAATTGGAGCAACAGAGCTTTTCTACCTTTGTTCTACTGAAGGGTTTCGGCTAGTGGCGCTACCTTCTGAAAGAGCTGTGCAGGGGCGTCGACCTGACCTTCAGCTTTCTTGGCGACATCTGAGGAAACAAAAAGCTTTTATGAGCCAAAAATAACAAAGATTAAATCACTGAAATAGTTAGAAAACAGAGGCACTCATCAAAAAAACTAAAACGGTGAAACACCCTGATGGGTTATCCGTTTCCATGGAGACGCAGCACCATGACAAGTCGTAAAGACGACTCAGCAAAAAGTTGGATTTAGATCCAAGATATTAAACATCAATTCAACATTGAAGCATCTGGATGAAGCAGAGGTTCCAGTGAGCACAAACTGGTCCAACTGGTGCCAGGTGACTGAACCACTGGTCACCACTAAAGGGACACTATCAACATTTGCCATGACGACAGGAACATTTAACAGCACTCCCCTCTCTCTTGTTCCATTTGTAGATCACTAAATAGGATATTACATGTTAGGAGCAGAAACTGAATTTCAGAAATAAAAAATAAAATGACACTCCTAAGAATGAATATAACTAGGAATGTTTCCACATTTTAAGTGGCATTTTGACATTTAGCAGTTTGTATTTATGAGATCTGAAATGTATTTTCGTACAAAATAATAAATATCAAACCTGCTTGCCATAGTCTGTTGTAACCATGATAACATAACGAGTTTATTGATTGAACAATGGTGAATCAATGTTTATATTTAGGTGAAATCACCTGTCAGCAGGTAAAGGATAAAATCGTTCTATCAGGAAGGACCTGTTCATCATCTCATTGGTTCCTCCTCAGGTTAATCCTGTCTTCCAGTAAATACTCGATAGGCGATTTCTATAACGCTGTTATCAGTGTTCTCTCCCTGATATAATCCAGTTCTGCTGCTAATGAGGACGGATCAGGTCTGGATGTCTGATGGATGGATGGGGAGGAGAAACGCTGAGGAAGAGAACTTTCTGAATACAAAGGACATCTAGACGCGCTTTGAGAATCCTCTCTCTATAAATACTAAATTCTCCGTGAATTAATGCGATTTATTTCTTTGATTGGATCCTCGTCTAAAAGACGCGATACGTTTGTGCTTTTAACACCTAACAGATTTACTGACTGATTAATTCACACAGAAAATAGGATAAAAATCTGCAGATTAATCAGGAAATAAAGGGTGATTGGCTCTAAGGAGGGCGGAGCCAGAGGACACCGTGTCTATGGAGGAAAACCTGCTGCTGATCAGGTCTGCTCTGCGGGGAGAGTTACCACGGTAACAGAAACAGGTTGAGGAAACTTTCTTCATGAAACAGAAACCTTTCCCTGATTTCATGGTTAACCAGTTTTCAATAAAGGGGCCTCTGCTGCTCTGTGGACCCAAGTTAAGCTTTTAATTTGCTGATCTCTGAGGCTCCTCCCTTCGCCATGTTCAGCAGGGCTCCTGAGGACCAGGGTTCCTGTAGGGCCCCACTGACCCAGCAAAGCAGTGCTTAATGATTCCAGTTCCCACCAGATCGTTTGAAGCGGTGGCCGATGCTCCGAGACCAGCCGATGTTGTGGATCAGGGGGCTGTACATGTGGCACCAGAAGTCATCCAGGCCATCGTCCTCATAGACCAGCCTGAGGCGCCCTCCAATCACCTGCTCCACCAGAGCCACCCGTGTCCGGCACAGGTAATTCTTATCCACCACCTCCACCCGCATTAGCTTCTTAAACGGGAACTGCATGTTTTCTCGAACCTACAGGGAGGAAAATGACGATGAGCTTCCTGCAGCTGATCTAGGAGGCCTTCATCAGACGAGGCCTGAAGCTTCACCTTGGCACTAAAGTCCGTCGGCAGCGTTTTGGATCCAGTGAGACGTTTCACAAGAAAGGCTTTCCAGTTAGAGTACTTGTGCTGAATGCCTGCAGGAGAGAGGAAAGTTAGAGCCAACATTCAGCCTGAGCAACTTCTAATGGCTGCAAAGCAACACTCACTTCTAGGAGGTACAAGCGGTTTGCTGCTGGAAGCGCACCAACCCACTGGGTGCACCTCAGGGACGCAGAGATTACACCAGAAGTCCTTACTGGTGTCGTTGTCGAAGCCCTCATACCTGAGCAGGGCCTTAAATCCTGCAAAGCAACAGAGCGAAAGTTCAGTTCACATGTTTTATGTCTCCGTTTGAAAACAGCTTCTTTCATTTTATGATGAAGAAAGAGTCAAAGTCACTTTAACTTATTGCTCAGGAGCCGCATTCATCAAGCTTCTTAGAGCTTATTCATTTCTAAGCTCAGAGAATTTGTGGAATTTACTCCAATTATCAGACTTAAGAATAAAAGCTATTCATCAAGGTTCTAAGGTCTAACATCTCATGGACATGCAGATTCTATAGGCGGCGGCAACGCATCAGAGCATCAGGAACACCGCATCGGATCCAAGCATTAACCCTGAAGTTCAGGGAATTGAACGTTTGCTGCTGGACGCCGGAGCATCAGCCAATCAGAAAAGCAAATCCAGAAGTTATGTGGGGAGACAGACGCTACCTGCAAGCTGTCAACACTTCTAAAGACATTCTGCTTATGAAAAATAATTTAATATCAAGGAGTTAAACTGCAAAGTTTAAAAAATGCGGCGAACATCCAGAGGGATGCGCAACAAGAGGGC